AGTGCATAGGAAAAGAATGGGACTTTCTTTTAGTGCGCTGTAAAAAAAAGTTAAGTTACGTACAACTGCACATATAGAAATGCAAATGCACATATTCTCGTTTCATTGAATTGATCCCATTTTTTTCGGATTCTCTTTTTAGTAGTCGGCTATGATTTTATATAAAAATTTAAAGCAAATGTAATGACCCTAAACCTAGATTCGAACCAGGGACCTTCAGTACCGCAGCCGAGCTTCCACTCCACTGCGAACCTAATGTGTTATGCTTATTTGGAATTTATAACCACAAATTGAAAAAATAATTATAAAAAAGGACCTTTAAATCTAGTTTAGGTGTCATGCTCAACCATGCGCCAAAGGTATTTGTAGATTCGCTTACTCCTAGTTAAAAATGGAAATAATTACCGAAAAATCAGTTTGCCATTAAAAGTGGCAAGTAAAAGCAAAAAGTGTCGTGTGTGTATGTACCTACGAAAAAAATGTTAACAATCTTCTATAACTTGCATGAAATGCATGTGTAGTGTATGTATCCTCTAATCATTAATTAACGTGTGTATTTGTAATTGCACATCTTTCGAGGTTTAAAAGACACAATTGCATTAAAAGAAAGTAATTAATTGTCATACATATACACATGATTTTAACCTCCACAACTAACCGTGCGAATAACGCGAAAGTGGGACAACCCTCCCAAGCTACCAACTTTGACAATATTCAAGTATTATCTGTTTCAAGTAATGTAATTATCATAATCATACCATGAGACCTGAGTCAACGATAGTAATAAGTTTAATTGCTAACAACTGTTGTGAGGTTATGAGAATATTCCTCCGTAGCTAATTACATTTAACGGCAATTAACTTCAGATGTCGATCTCCACTCGTCAGTTACACAAATATCAGCAGGTAATAAATGTTTATATAATTTTCCTATGCTCATTAAGCAAGCATCCATCCGTACCTAGCTATCAAAATCTCTAGTACTCGTCCTCATTCCACTAACTTTACAAGCCATTGGTGTAATCGTCACCCATGACCTACTTTTCTCATTTGAACACATCTTAAATCGTAGAATAAACGTATTTGTCACAGTTTTTACAGATTTTTGCGTTTCTGGTGGTTTTAATTTTCGCTTCCATACCCGCAAATACAACCCCGATAAATGAAAGACGATCACCGCTAGAAGTAGGACTAATTTCATTCGATCGCCCAAATGTTTTCTTGGCGCGACACATGGGCAAGACGAAAACAAAATTACCACTTGATCATCCAACGGTCGCTTGGGTACCAGGATACGTCCGCAACCATGCCTACATCCCGGCACATAAAGAGATCGTGCTTTTTGCATCGGCAAAAAAAAATGATCGGGAACTCCACGAGGAGTTGGACTTTCAAGGTCACAAAGATTTTGAAACGGTGGGATATGGAGCGGGCCATGGTCTTATAGGTAACGGATTTTTTTTGCCCTTTACAAATAGGGAAAGTTTTGGTTGATCACACAATGGAGTGTTTGATATTAAAAAGTGTGATCTGTTTGTTGTGTCAGCAAAGTCAGTGAGGGTAGTAAATTTATTTTTTTTTATTGCTAACAATGGCAAAAATAATAATAGAACATTACCATAAAAAAGTTTGAGAAGTATTAGTGCCTGAGCAGCAAAGATTACTTGTAAAGTACATTATTCCAATAAAGGCGCGAAGGTAATAATAAACTTATTTTTTTAAGAAATGGCTGTTCTATTATGATTTACAATTAATAATTACTTGTGTATTACTTAGACATTGTGACAGAATTAAAGAATTAAACTGTATATATTTATTAAGTAATAAATTTTGAAGGTAACGTCTGCATCCGCCATTTTTTTTAAATAAAAGTCAAAATAACTTAAAAAACCATAAATGTAGGTATCGACATGTGGGTACCCAAAGAATTGAAATTTCACTATTTTGAAAATATTTTACATCGAGTCGGTCTTCAGAGTAACTCTTAAGCACAAATTTTCAAAATCTTACTTATTTCGCTTTCCCAGAAACGTTTAACTAAAGTTTCCAAAAAACACGATACAACAAACATAAAAAATATGCGATCGATAAAAGTAGCGCTCGCCCGGCATAGATTTTCTTCGAAGGTTTTAGTAAAAAGGCCGCTCTCCCACCAGACTTTCACTTATGTTCCAAACGCGAAAACGACTCCCTTTTTAACACCGCAATTTTTGTGGAAAGTGTGCCTTCTTAACCAATACGAATCCCACATTTGCATCACGTGCTCGACTTTTCGGCAAATCGAAACCTGTTACAATGAACACAAAGGTTATTCGCGTTTTGGCACGATGCCGGATTAAGTACCGTACCGCCCTTAATGCACAAAATAGGGTAGCGGAGTAGTCACAATTTTATCAAATTGGCGTTATAGAGGATCTCCTTTGAATATACAGCGTGGAAATTTGGTCTGGAACACTGAATACCTACATCTTCAAAACAACATTTTTTAAAGGAATTTTTATGATATTATATAAACAAAATTCTACCAATCTACCCACTTTAAAATTGCGTTCAGTGCCGTACGTCTGCAGAGTTTAAAGTGCAACAATTACCTTGCTTATTTTGGTTGCTTTCGACAAACGAAATCGCCACAATGGGATTTTCAATCGTAAACAAATTATCCTTCATTGACTCGACTTTACCAGCACTCCAATATATCCATTCAAAACGTGAATCCAGTCCAAAGTCAGTTAGTTTCGTTCTTTTATTATTTGTGAGACAGGCAAGCTTATTTACGCGCGGCTCATAAACATTATGGAATTTATGGACATAGAACCGTATAACATAAATACCTTTCCTTTAAAAAACTATTTTGTATTAAAATTATTTATAGATATTTTCTAAACAATGAATCATTCTTATGCATGACCAAGAGATGGTAAAAGTGTCTCTATTAATCGATTTTATTAGGAAAACACCCAAACGCATTCTTTCTATGTCCAAAAAGGGTTACCACGTGCATTTTGACCACGTGATGCAAAAGTCATACACTAATAAGTATGCACTAATTTCTTTGAAAACTCGACGAATGCATCCTTACTTTTAATGCAGAATAATATCGGAATGAAATGCGCTATATATAAATCGTTTCCGATTACACTTTGTACTTGTTGGTATATTTGCTGGTCTACAGATTACTTTTCCTAACAGGCCCACAATATTTAGGTCCAAAATTAGATTCTTTTAAATACTATGCCAATACATAATAAGCTCTTGGATAAATATTAGCATAGCATTTTTCTTTGTTGATGACGTACAACGGCTGATAAACCGCTTAAGGTGGAGGTACTGTATGTAAATAAGCACATTTAAATAAAGTTCTTACGTTATTTTCATATTTTGTCTTTTGCACTTACTATGATAATTCACTGCAACGGCAGCATGGTGACAAAGAAATGCTACCGGAGTATTTCTTACGTCAAGTTCCAGAAATCCCGATAGACATCGAGGCGCCATGAAAGGTTATTCATCGGTGATAAAGAGCGAAGGCGAACGTGACGCAATCCTACCGAGAAAAATTAGGTGTTTATTTTAGAACATTCCGAGCGATCTAAGAACATTCTAGAACAATTGCTTTTACTATACGGGGTGGTGACTTGACGAACGCAACATAAGAATTTCAATAGTAATTTTTTAATTGCCAATTATTGGCTCCCCTAATTATTTTAGAAATAAAATCTGTTAGGTTTTTTGTAGAGAAAAACATTACGAATCGTTACATACTATTGCATCCTATTTTATAAATTCACAAACTGAAAAATTAAAAACTGTGGAGTTTATAAAGTCGGTAACGCCATGGAATTATGAAATCAAACAAAAGCATCTACATTTGCCATTAGTCTCAAAGTGCCATGGCACCACTGATTTTCTTAAAAGTGCCAGTTTTCAGTTATCCAATTTCTTGGTTTCAAAGTTCAAAAAATTAAAAGCTATAGTAAGCATGGATTCGTAATTTTTTTCTCTACAAAAAACCTAAATTAGGGAAGCCATAATCAGAAATGAAAAAATTACTATTAAAATTCAAGTTCAAGTCACCATCCGGTATAATCAAAATGTACCTAGCCTATTTCAGTTCAGTTCCAACTTCGATGCGCTCGTGTTATGTTATAAATTGTAAGTGGTAAATAATAATAATTAAGCCATTTTAAGACTGTTTATATATTTATTGTTAGTTAATTGCAAATAAATAAACGACATAATTCAATTTACATTGCAGAATGTATGTTAAGCACTATATGAGGTCTAGACCAATTAGCCTCATTTCATAAAAAATTAATGTTTGTACTTTCTTAACTAAATAGTGATTAAATGGCTCCAATTTGTTTTTTTCCAGTACATCTCATCGCCGGCCAATTTATTGTTGAAAGTAACCGATAAATGGTTGCAACAACAGCGAGTTAAAGACTATGGTTAAAGTATAATTTTATACGCTCTGCGGAGGCTGGCATCAGCCCCTTTCGCAGTCTACGGGGATGCGCTAAAATTTGAAACCACATAATTCCTTTTTATAAAAATCATTGAAAATCGGCACTAACTAAATTCCATACAATTAGTGCTCTTTAAGTTGGAATTTTGTAGTAATATCGTTTTTCTTGGTATAGTGCCGTTTGAGCCTATATTGGGAATGGCGTTGTCCGCGTATCAATTCCTTACTTTAAAACAGTTCGAACAGCGTAGTCTATAAATAGACAAAACTAAATGTAGTTTCAACGGATGGACAGACAGATAAAGTCCTTTATGTGAAGTAAGCCCGTAAATAGATAATTTTAAATAAAATCGTTAATTTAAAACCCCTAATTAGTAGTTATTCCTCTCATATAATAATGACATTGGCAGCAACATTGTTATATTACTTTTACGCCTTTTGTGATGGTACCTTTTGATTGACCACCCTGCATTGAGTTTCTTAAAATTTCGATCCTGTATATTGTACAGGAGTGGCAACACCTAAAAACAAATACACCATATTTTCTGTTTTGCTGAAGTGAACATAACCTCTAATTCTACACATACTAATAAGGTTAAATAACAAAAATAATCCTTAATACTTTCATTTCTATTCCTTTTTAGATTATTAAGATGAATTTTCTACGACAAGCGGTCTGCAAAGTGTCACATGTTGCAAGCAGCATTATAACGTCTGTCCGAGTTCCGCAGTCTTACAGTCTTGCATTTCGTATTTCAAATTTAAACTCTCCACTGAATCTTATTCCAACACAAGGTAGGTCATTGCTTTACATTTAACAACTTTACTGTTTTAGATTTTCAAGTATCATTTACTTATGTAATTCCAATGATACATACATCTTCGAACTTGATTAACTATGAAAGTAGCGGCCATGAATACGTTATTATTGCTCTAGTAAGTCTTTTCGAATAGTGGGAAAGATCATTGCAATGGGGCAAACGAGTTTAAACTACTTCACTCTTTTTTAGTAACATCGAAATAAACTTGTGTAAATTTGCAGTTTACGTTGCGAAATGATAGTATTATGAGATATGGTTAAAGTTAATTTGATTTTGTGTACATACAAGCTCTGCTATTTGATATAGCTAAACACAATGTAAATTATGTTGTAGCAGTTTTCCTTGACATATATCTATAATATTAGATGCTATTATCGGGATGATTTAAGGGGATGACAGCAGATTTAAATTCACATTGCTTTTTTCGTTACTTTGGGTACAGCGTGTATCTAATCTTAGGCCATAGGAAATACCTTTCACTTGATTTTTTATCACAAAACTGTGCCATAAGGGCCTGCCTTTATAATTATTTAAGAAGCTCTAATTAAAAGCATGCACTTGCATTCTCACATCAATTTCTTCATAAAGTGTTTACAAAGGTGGGCAACACATCATACAGTTTGCAAGGTGTGTTGCGTAGTGTATGATGCAGACAGTGGTCTGTCTCCAATTAATTTGATAGGGGAAAATATGCAAAATCAAACAAATTAGAAATACAAATAAATAATAAAGGATTTAATTTCGTTCCATTAAATCTAAGTATAATTAAAAATGTTTCTATGTAGCTCTTAACTTTACTGGCGCTGTTTTGTACCATATGAATACATTTGCAATTCAAGATTGTTTTTTGCAAAGAAAAATAGCCCTTGCTCTAAACTGTGTTTTATACACTGTGGACGTAAATCTCTCATTCTTTTGAATTAAGTGCTAATAATATATGTATTGTATGTTTACCAGACGACATTTAAATATGCCGAAAAATGCGAACATTGTAGAGGATCTAAATTTTGTGCTTTCCTGATGCCTTGGTAACTTTTTGGTCAATTTCCTTGGGGCGCAGTGAAATTAGCTGTCTCGAGGGATTGGAGAATCGTATCATCATATCTGGAATTTCCCAGAAACGTTTAACTTCGCCTTGATCTCACACCTCAAGATTACTTTGATAAGGAACATTTGAATCGCGAGGAATTTTTGGACTGTGAACGGTGAGCAGCCTTTGAGCTTTACACTGACTTAATTTCTAAGATCGTGGCATCGTTAATCTCTGAGATTTCTATTTAGTTTTGAAAGTCATTGTCAAGAGGAGAGCGAGATAACTTTGACGGCACTCGAAATTCATCTTATGAATTTTTACATGAAGTTGAGTTAGGATAGGAGAATAGGGTTGTGAACATGACCACTATTTGAGAGAGATATGACCTTCAAAAATAAATCATTTACTATTAATATCTGTAATACCACTTTAGATATTTTAATTTGGCATGTATGTACTATGTATCCAGGCGCATTTTTAACGTACCACATTTTTTTAATTTCAATTTTTAAATTCAATTTTCAGTGGCGTTCGTACGGAATTTCCGAGGGAATTTCACATGGCCATTTTAGCAGACATTGATGGTACGCGACTGATTTCTCTGAAAATAAAAATTATTCTTGAAAACCCCAATCATTTCTAAGCAAATTTGTTCCCTTTCTTTTTTTCAATCCGGTGCACGGTTTTCGCTTAGAAAAATAAAAACTCGTCAACAGAATTAATAATTGTGACAGGCACATCCTACTGCAATGATAAGTAATAATTCTTTTTTACTTAAGTGGGTAGTTTTCTTAATGTTCTATTGGAAAAGTTGCAAAATTCGAAGTACGAAGCATGAGCAGATTTGATCGCTTGATTTTTGCAATTCAACGCACGATTTTAAAAAGAAAATCTTTTTCGCTGCTTGATATTGTCATGGTCATGCAGAGAAACGGTTTTTTTTAGAGAAATCAGTGGCGTACCATCAATGTCTGCCAAAATGAGCATGTGAAATTCCGTACGAACGCCACTGGTGGAAATTAAAAAATGTGGTATGTTAAAAATGCCTCCGGATACATAGTACATACATGCCAAATTTCATTAAAAATCTAAAGTGGTATTACAGATATTAATAATAAATGATTTATTTTTGAATACTTTACCACCCTGTATCTCAAAAGTTAAGACGTTTAGGACAGGTTCATATGCAGTTTTCTTGTTAAAATGGACTCAAAAATCGCCCCCTTAAATATTGACATTCAATTATGAAACACCGTGTATACCAATTATGGGTCTTTGAACTAACCAGGAGGTCGGATGTTCGGACCTGAATCGAGGTACCTAAATTTTTCGTCTGTGGCAGAGATGAGAATTTCCTTAGATCAGTTTCGAGCATTCTGTCGAATTAGGTTTTCGTCCAGTTTTCCTAATTCGTAAGGTAAATACCGGAGTAGTATAGAACAACTTAAGACCTTCTGCAGGGGCACCTCTAAAAAGCATTATGAGTGACCCACTCTGTAATTGGGCGAAAGCCTGTTGAGGACCTATAATCTGGGGACAATAAATAAATAAATAAATAAATAGAGATGTTGTATGGACCACTACCAAATACGTCATAATCTATCGCAGAACATTTCCAAAATACGGTACGTCAAAACAAGCATAAATTGTTGGATAAACATACGTCCGATCTTGCCTCGTTTTCGACCCATCGATTTCCATCGGAATGAAAATTTGCGACACCCCGTATAATCTCAAAAATCAAAATAATCTTCTGATTAAGGCCAAAATGATCAATTTAAATGACCTGAGTTGACCTCGTGAATTAAATTAATTTCGCGAATAAAATCCAAGATGGCGGACAAAGTGACAGTAGTAGACTGGCGTGCAACAAAATCCGTTACATGATATTATTAATTATTATAATTATTCGTGATGAATTCGTTAAATTCCGATCAAAGGCCAGTACTTTTTGAATAATTTTTCAGAGATTTAGGCATCCACGAAACTGAGTGGGGTTCTGAGGATGTTCTCAAATACGGAATTCTTTTTGCTTTTTCTATGACTAAAAGTTTATATAAACAGGTCCTCAAACTTTTCGTTACTGATCCACAGGGTGTTAAAATTTAAGTTTTTTTCTTTATGTCTATAGGTACATAAACTTATATCGATAGTCATACCTACTTATTTCTATATATCATGCAGATTTTGAGATATTTTGCTCAAATTTGAGATATATGTTATGCTGAAGGGCAAAACATCATTGGTCGAATCTACATTTTTTAAAATGGTTCAGTACGCCCTGGCTTTATTTGGATAATCTCAATACTCTCACATCATACAATGGCGTAATTGGTGGAATCTATCAGTGAAGCTTTACGAACTTCAGTTCGTGGGTTCTTCGGATATGTGCACTTTTTTAAATACTTTCAGAATACATTTTTTATTCATGTATTTAAACAAATACTAAGCCGTGTTGATTGAGCGGCGTGACTATAAATAACCTATTTATTTCAATGGTGAGGTGGTACGACGTGAAGCCGAAAATTGAACTTTTTTATAACACATATCTCCGCAATGTTAGTACGTAAGTCATGTTCTGCATTAAGAGTTCTTGTAAAAATGCGTGTGTGGCCACTGGTCAGTAGCTAAGTTATCCTATTGACATATTTTCCCATTTCCTGGTGCAATACAGCGTGATGTGAGCAACGCTTTGTGGTTTGCGCTATTCATCTGTCAGTGCTGGACATTGTCCAAGATGCGTCACCTGCCAGTTAAGTCTCTAAAGGGTGATTTGAAGAGATTTAGTCCAGAGTCGTATTGGTCGAAATTAGACGGTCAAGCACTGATTTCTCATTATCGAAAGAAACTAAATGACGTAAATGGTAAATTGACGGATCAAACACTAATTACCAATTGATTAATGTGATTAGTTTTCTGAATACTAGTGAAATTACTTATTCTCTTTCGGTCAAAAGTACACCCCTGAACTAGTATAACAAAAGTGGTGCGTGCTGATCGCAATCTTACGGATTTTGCTTATTGCATTTTGTATACGTGAATGGAACTGTTAGCTGTTAATTTTGCCACGTCGTTCTCAATTCTGTAAATTGCAAACGCCACCTTTACAAATAGCTTGCACTGATAATTAGGCAAACCCTTTCAGCTGTCCTGGCGGAATTGCGGCTAAATTACTTACACGTTTCCTTATTTGCAGAACGATCCATGGCGTCACTCGCGCGAATGCATCGGACAGGTCCGCATTTCAAAACACGCAAATCGAAAAATCCGCTGGATGGCAATCCGTTTATGAAGGGAGTCGTGCTGAAGACGTTAATTAAGAAACCAAAAAAACCGAATTCGGCGAACAGGAAGTGCGTTTTAGTCAGATTGTCGAATGGAAAGGAGATGGTGGCGTATATACCCGGAATTGGTCATAATTTGCAAGAACATAATATTGTGCTTGTGAGAGTTGGAAAAGTTCAAGATTGTCCGGGTGTTAAACTGAAGTGCGTTCGAGGAAAATACGATTTGTCGCATGTGATTCCTGTTAAGAAATAATGTACCTAGAGCTACCTTAAATTAAACAACAAATTCTTATATTCTTTATTGCCACAAAGTTTGTTGTAATTACAGCTAGTTACCTGTTACAAGAAAACTGAAAAATGAATACTCTACATTCCCCCCCCCCCTTCCCCTGTGCGGTAAAATCACGCTGGAAAACTCGCTCTCGTAATATTCTCCTGCGGAATATTCGCGTTCAGGAAACCCCCAAATATAAGTCACCGCGACCTGGGTGAACTTGGCCCCCCAACTTTAGAAAGCCATAATTTTCGTGATTGAAATGGATTGCGCTTCGTTTGCGCACAATTGCATTTTGTTTGCGCGCTTCCGGTTTCAAAATTACGAAGGAATCAAGTTCGGGGGGGGGGGGGGCAAATTTCACAACTGCCCCCCAAGTTTACAAATGTCTCTTTTTTTTCTTGCGATCGTTTATGCTTCGTTTGCACATGTTTGCGCTCCCAATACCTTCGTTCGTGCCCCCGTCGGTTTTGAGTTATTCCAAATACAAAATTCCATACTGGCCCCCCATTTTTCAAATTTGACGGTTTTTTTCTTTTGATCGTTTGCGCACAATTGCATTTTGTTTGCGAGCTGCCGGATTCAAAATTACGAAGGAATCAAAGGCAGCTTCACGACTGCCCCCCATGTTTACAAATTTGATGCTATGTATGCTATTTTTACGCAAAATAAAAGTGAATTAGTCGAACTTTGCGGAAAAAAAGCGTCAAATAATTAAATTATGGAATTTTGTATTTGGAATAACTGGAAAACGGCGGGGGCGGAAACGAAGGTATTGGGAGCGCAAACAATCACAAGAAAAAAATGTCAAATTTGTAAACATGGAGGGCAGTCGTAAAGTTGCCCCCCCCCCCCCCAACTTGATTCCTTCGTAATTTTGAAACTGGCAGCGCGCAAACAAAATACAATTGTGCGCAAACGAAGCGTAATCCATTTCAATCACGTAAATTATTGCTTTCTAAAGTTGGGGAGCCAAGTTCACAGGAGAATAATTATAAGAACTATCTTAGGATGAGGTTCTTAAAATCAATCCGTTAGGGTCGAACTTTCCTAAACGTGAATTTTACTTGAACAGAGTTCCTGGCGAAGTACACCAAGGCGGTGCATCCCATCCCGGCGATGTACCGGGTGACACAATAAGACTGTTCCTCGGCCATATCTCGGGAACCGTTCTTTGTATGACTTAGGGGTAAAAAAATTATTGGGAAATCGGTTATGAAGTTATGAAGAACCGCTGGAAAATATTTTCAAGTTCTAAAAATGACCACCAGAGGGCGTAACTGCCATCTTCAATTTTAAAATTGCCTTTTTAAATTTCGCATAATAAACTAAACATTCTTTTTTCACATTTTTAAAGAGAACCAGTTTATCATTTTCGTAAAGGCAAAAACTCAGTTATTTCAAAAACAAAGATGGCGTGGGGCGTTCAATTGTTTTTGCAATAACCTGCTCTAACTTCTTAACCGTTTGATCGATTGTAACAAATTTGGTATCGTTGAAAAGAGCATTCCTTGGGAAACAAGAATCATAGTTTATTTAGTTGAATCCTTCTCAGCCAGGGGGCTAGTTTGGACACTACGATCCAAAATCCTAAAAAAAATCAAAAGAAAACAAATGGAATGATATGACTTTTTCTTTATTTATTTATTTATTATCCCTCTCTTGTTCTGGGCCCACCAACAGGCTTGCGCCCAATTACAGAGTAACCCGCATAATGCTTTTTTAGCCTCTGCAGAAGGTCTTAAGTTTATGAAAAAGTGGCCAAATAACACCCAAAGAGGCCAGTGAAAACCGTTTTTCAAAATCTCGTTCCTAACCTCAAATATTGGGAAAATAAGATTAATTAATTAATTGATAAAAATGCTTAAATTTTATTTTATTTGACGTATTTCCGGTATTTGTCGATGGCGCGAATGATTGTTTGGAAAAGCACCCTACACTTTTAGGTAGGCCTTGGAAAATTAAACAAATGAAACACGATGCATTATAAAATAATAACAGCCGTAATTTGTAAATTATTCTGTTATGTTTACATTCAGAGCGTGCAGTTTTTTGAATTTGTAATCTTTTCTAAAATGCCGATTTCTAACCAAGAAGCATTTAATATGCTGGCGGCAATGGTTCGTGGTTGATTCGGATAACGCACATAGGAGATGTGGACATCGATGGTCGCATTTGAAAATACTCAAAATATATCGCCAGCATATTAAATGCTTCTTGGTTAGAAAAGATTACAAATTCAAAAAACTGCACTTTCTGAATTTAAACACAACAGATTAATTTACAAATTACGGCTGTTATATTATTTTATAATGCATCGTGTTTCATTTGTTTAATTTTCCAAGGCCTACCTAGCTACTTTCTCACAAAGAAGAAGTCATATCATTCCATTTGATTTTTTTAGGATTTTGGGTCATAGTGTCAAAACTAGCCCCCTGGCGGGGAAGGATTCAACTAAATTAACTATATATAACGGTTAAGAAGTTAAAGCAGGTTATTGCAAAAACAATTGAACGCCCCACACCATCTTTGTTTTTGAAATAACTGAGTTTTTGTTTTTACGAAAATGATAGGTAAACGTTTTCTTTAAAAATGTGTAAAAGTTTTGTTTAGTTTATTATGCGAAATTTAAAGAAAATGCAATTTTAAAATTTAAGATGGCAGTTCCGTCCTCTGTTGCTCATTTTTAGAACTTGAAAATATTTTCCAGCGATTCTTCATGATCGATTCACCCAATAATTTTTTTACCCCTAAGTCATATGCATACGGTTCTCGAGATATGGCCGAGGAATAGTCTTATTGGGTCACCCGGTACATCCGCGACGTACACCCCGGCACGGCACCGTTTTCGCGGCGACAACCCATCCCGGCGACTATTACTTTCCCGGAAATGCACACCTAACAACGTCTGTCCAACCCCATTTTCCTTTTGTTTTTTCTTGACATAAACAATGATAATTATACTGTAGAAGCGGTTGTCAAATTAGGTACCGGAAGTGGTTGTTATGGTTGAAATATGCAAAGAAGCTCAAATAAACCGTCTTGTTTACACAATTGCCAACAGTGTAAAAGACGCATTTTTTGAAAATTGCGTTTTACACCCGTTGACCTACGCATGTAGATACCAAAACACTTTGCCTAACTATATAAATGGAATAATTTCAAGTTGATACTATAATCCATATTCAGATTGTATTACATCTAAACCTCTCGCCAGGAAAGATTTCCGGTCACAGACACTTGATCCCGGTCTACAATCTATGTTTTTCTAAAGATGTGAGCGACTTCAGGGATAGTATCGTGTCAATGTTCAACAAATAGACTTTTCGTACAACATTGGCACGATCCTATTCCGGAAATCGCTCGCGTCTTAAGAAAAACATAGATTGTAGATCGACACAAGGTGTGCTGTGACCGGCAATCTTTCCTGGCGAGAGTAATAGAAATATCTATACAATAAAAAATAAGAAAACTTAATTCCGGTGAATTGTTTCAATATAATAAACATGAATTTACTTCATATGTTTACCTCGTCTTAAATGTTTTCCATCCCCCCTGCAGAGTTCAAATTGCTGGGAAGCCGAGATTGCCCATCGCTGGGTTTAGATGCCCGTGATAACCGAAGCCGGGAAGTAAATTGTCGCCGGGATGACCGTGGCCGTATCCCAGCGGGATCGAATTTTCTAAGGGAGAATCTTCCTACATGATGCAATTCCAATCACACTTTGTTAGTGACAACGGCCATCTTGATTACAACGGGAAATACGGGGTCATCCAAAAAGGATTATTTGATAAAAGGACTACTTCGAGTAGGATGCACATATATTGAGAAGGATATGGTTTTAAAATAAAGAGGAGAGTTGGGAGGTTTTGCTTTTACATTTAGTAGTAGGCATTGCGTTGTGTTGGTGGGAGTAAGGGCGATGACCTTGGATTCAAGGTCCCAGAAGTTAGCACTATCATTGAAAGCACCTAACGACAAGCGAGCGGTGTCGAGCGTTAGCGTTTTATATCGTGAATCAGATCTAGTGCTGAGTACAACAGAAAACCAACAGAAATCGTTCCTGTGTCAGTAAAGGATGACCCCTTCAACGAAATTGTTTTAAATCAACACACGATGTGCTGCCGACCAAGGCTTCATTGCTACTGAAATGGCGATGACATCCCTTGAACAGAAGATGTCAGTATTATGACGACATATTCGTGAGTAGCAGCGTATTTCCGACATCTATTTACAGTTTGAGGAGGGCGCTGTTTTGAGAGTTGTGTTCCCCTGACCCTCCCTGCCCTTTAGTTGACAACATGAATCGATGGAGTGATGAGCAAGGAGCAACGAGCCTATTCTAGGACGGTAGCTCAAAAACGATTCCGAACGCGCTTCAATGTCGGACATCGTGGCAGTGTTCGAGGTCTACCATATTGAAATGGGTCGCTATCTTCAGGACTACAGGGGCAAGCAGTTGCACTGAGCATGTCGAAGAAGACATCGTTATCCTAACCAGTGACGGTGAGTGACGAAGCTCACTTCCACATATTCGGTTTTGTTAACAAACAAAACTGTAGGTACTGGGTATCACAAGACCAAACCGTCATATCCATGAACGTCCCTTGCATCGTGAACCAGCATGGTGTGCTGTAGGCAGTGTTGGTGTAATTGGGCCTTTTTTCCTTGATCGCGGTGTAGCGGTCACGATTAACTCTAACTGTCACCTGCAAATGATTAAAACATTTCTTGTTCCTGAGCTACGGGGAAGACCGGAAGACGAATAAATAGGCAAAGGATAAGGTTCCAACAAGATGGGACTACCCACACATCAAGGGCGTCAATTACAGATACGGCGCCACCTTTTTCCCGCAGATGTTGCCTGGCCCCCTCGTTTCCCCAGACTCACCCCCGTGTGATTATTTTCTCGGGGGATACATCAAACCGAAAGTGTACATCAACAAGCCGAAGACTATACCAGAACTGAAGGACGAGAGGTTGAAGCTGTCCCTCGATTAATGGTGCGCCCAAATGGGCGTCAT